CCCTCCCTCCCTCTTTTTTTTTTTTCTTTGTCTTTTTCTTGTTTTCTGGTCTTGTTCTTGAGTCAAGGTTTGTTGTTATTTATTACAGGCTGTTTTAGAATTTACCACTCCCCCCCTCCCCGTCTGGACCCCTTTCTCCCTCCCCTCCCCTCAACCGCTCTACTGCTGGGATTATAGGCCTGTACCACTACCCATGCCCTCATTTTTGTCTGCTACATTTTGTCTCACAGCAGGCTTTTGAGTGGGAGGGGAAAGGACTGTAAGGCCACCTTTCAGTTTTATGGCCAATCACTTTTCAAACCGTGCAGTTTTTTGCCTTTAGGGATGTGTGTGTATGTCTGTCTCATTCCCTCGCCCACCCCTTCATTTATCCGGGTGTCTGGGTAGAGGCTCTCTACCTTCCAAGGCAAGGCAGCCCCTCATATTGTAGATTCCTGGGGAACAGTCTCTTGGAGATCTCAGTTTACAACCTCTGCGAGCATTTCCCAGCGCTCTTTTATGGCTGTGGAAACATCACAGTGCCCTCAAGTGGTGTCTGTGGAATAGCTAGCGTGTTGAAGGGAAGTCAGCGTCCTTAAGTGACTCACAAAGTCACTCTGCAGTTTCAGTTCTACCTCAAGTTTTTCTCACCCTTTGGCGGAGCGCTTGGTCCCAGATGCTAACCGCACCCCGTTTCCGCTGAGCCACCCATAGCCCTGGGCTTTTCTTTGCACACTAATTTATAGGAAGCTTCTTAGAGAAGCAGAGAGATGGGGTGGGGGTGGGGCATCTCACAGTATGTTCTTATCTCTTCTCTGCCTCTCAATCCGAGTAAATGTGGGATTATTATTATTATTATTTTAAGTTTTCACATTGCAGATGGTGGCATAGAGCAATTGTTGCTCATGCAGAGAACCCAGGATTCTCAGCATTCGCATGGTGGCTCACAACCATCAGTATCTCCAGTTCCAGGGGATCTGATGCCTCTTCTGATTTCCGACAGCACCAGTCACACCCCTGATGTCCATACACGTACACAGGCGAATATCAAAACCAAACAAACCAACTAAATAAACAAAAAACAATGGCAACACCTCAAACTCCACCCCCAAACAAACAAAAACAAAAAACCCCCCATAAAACAAAATACATAAATCTAAAAAAATAATTTTTTTTACCACATTTTGTGTGTGTGTGCTCACACATATGTCACAGCTCATACATGGAGATAGAGGACAACATGTAGCAGTTAAGTCTCTCTTTCCAGCATGTTGTTAGGCTTGGTGTCAAGTACCTTTACCCACTAAGCCATCTCTCCAGCTCATGTGTTGAACTTTGATTCCAAGTATGTCTTCTCCACCTAGGGGTCAGTCTTAGGGAAATCGGTATAGTTCAAGTTAAACAGGCTAAGCTCAAGTTAATGAGAGAACAGAGGAGATAGTTGAGTGGTAGAGTACTTATCTAACTTCCATGACGTTCTGGGTTCTACTGTGGGTGGCATATATGGGGCTGTACATGTCATAGTGCATAGTGCAAGGTCAGAGAACAACTTGAGGGAGTCAGTTCATTCCTTCTACCATGTGGGTCCCGGGGCTCTAATCAGGCTTGGTGGCAAGAGACAAGTGCCTATACCTGCTGAACCAAATAATCCAACTTATTACAGAACATCAGGTACCAAGAACTGACATCTTACTGTATTTTCTTGTCTCCTCTTTCTGGTTTTTCTTAAAGGTAAAAAACCAGACTGTGAAAATGTTACTGAGACTAGCATGGGAGAAGTTGAACCAACTCTTCTGATAAATCCTGAAGACATTGTCCCCAAAGAACCAGGAAGTTCAGAAGAGACCCTCCGGACAATCCTGAGACCAGGTGACAAAGTTTCTGACAAGTATAAGACAACTTCTTCTGAGATCAACGCTGTTGTTGGAGCTGTTCCTTCTATATGTAAGCATGCCACATTCCTTGTCAAATTAAGCGATCTGCACACCCAGAAATGCAGTGATCATAGTGTGTCCTTGCAGTGTTCCTAGTTCCTCTCTGCATTTGACTCTTTCTCAAGGCCTTGGGCCTTAAGTTTAACTGTGTGTTGTTTTAAGCACTCTGAGGTCTCACAGGTAAGTTTGACTGACCACTTGATGATGGCTCAAGTAAAAAAGCAATTTGCCGGGCGGTGGTGGCGCACGCCTTTAATCCCAGCACTTGGGAGGCAGATGCAGGCGGATTTCTGAGTTCGAGGCCAGTCTGGTCTACAGAGTGAGTTCCAGGACAGCCAGGACTACACAGAGAAACCCTGTCTCGAAAGAACCAAAAAACCAAAAAAAAAAAAAAAAAAGCAATTCTATAGTAATAAAACTGAGACTCTCATGAGCGAGATGGTTGAATGCTTTCCTAAGCTCTACTTGGATTTCTGTGCTCAAGTATTCTTGCCACCCAAGTCCTTGGAACCAAGGTGAATCCTGCTGCGCTTGGCTATGCTCTCCTTTCTATGCAGTCTTTGGATTTTAGGCTTAAGTACTTTGTTGTCTAGGCTAGCTACATTTCAAGGATTCCGTGGTCACGTGCGACCGATGGCTACTGTTCTACAGCTGAGTTTCAGAGTGTCCTTTTCTCCCTCATTGATGACCCAGGTTACCCCATCTACGGTGTTCCAACCATTCGATCTGACATCCCTGCCCCCCGGATTCGTCGAGTCAGTGACATGAATAACTACGGTGAAGACGGCAATGCTTACTCCTTGCTGCACCCCTCCATCTTCTCCCAGAAAGGTGTATTCGAGAGAGACTTCTTCAAGACCAGGTCAAAGGAAGAGGTACAGAGATCACCTCAAACTTTGGACTTGGCAATGATAGATCGCTATTATTATTGTGACCACTTTAGTTACTGTTGTCTTTTGTTTATTTATTTATTTACTTATTTATTTATTTATTTATTTATTTTGAGATGGCACTTCACTGCTTACCCTGCTCTGGCCTGGTACTCACTATGTAGCGCAGGCTAGCCCTACAGTGATTGGTTGTTTTCCTGTCTCAGCTTCCCAAAGCATCGGGGTTGCAGGCATAAACGAACATACTTGACTAGTGTTTTACTGTTTTTTTTTTGTTTGTTTGTTTTGAGGTTGAGCTTTGCTAGGTAGCCCAGGCTGGACTTGAAATCATGTTCTTCTTGATTCCTCCTATTGAGTTCAGGAATTACATATTGCTTCTAATCTGATGCACAATATTTATTATTATTATTATTTTATTATTACTATCATCACCATCATTATTAATTTTATTATCAACCTGTGTAGTCCAGGCCAGCCTCGAATCAGCTGGATAGATGAAGCTGGTTTTGAACTTCTGATCCTCCCACCTCCACCTCCTGAATGCAGGTATGTGCCTGGTACTTGTGGTGCGGGAGATCAAATCAGGGTTTGTTCATGGTTATCAAGAGTTTTACGAGCTGAGCCCAGCGCTAGCCCCAGCCCCAGCCCATGGCTATTATTTTTGAATTTTCAGAATTACAGTTTGTATAGGGATTCTCGAATATAGGATTTTTTTTTTTTGGTTTTTCGAGACAGTGTTTCTCTGTGTAGCCCTGGCTGTCCTGGAACTCACTCTGTAGACCAGGCTAGCCTTGAACTCTCGAACTCAGAAATCTGCCTGCCTCTGCCTCCCAAGTGCTGGGATTAAAGGCATGTGCCACCACCGCCTGGCTTGAATATAGGATTCTTGATGAACGATATTCAGTTTGGTTATAACATGCTGCAAAGTTTTTTTTCTCCACCCTCTCCAAGTATATTATATAATTCTCTCCCCTTTCAAACAAGGTCTCAGTATGTAGGCCAGGTAGGCCTTCAACTCAAGACCACCTTCCTGCTTCTGCCTTCGAAGTGCGGTGATGACAAGCACAAACGATCATGTCCACCTTCTTTTCTTCCTTCAATTTACTCACGTTTCATTTTTAAAAATTATAATTTATTCGTGTGTGTGTCTGCGTGTGTGTGTATGTATTTTATGTATGCTCGAGTATGTGTGGATGTCAGGAAAACTTGAGGGAGTTGGTTCTTTCCTTCCATTATGTGGGATTAGAAAATCAAATTAAAGTCTTGCCAGCAAGCACTGTCACTCCTTTATTTATTTATTTATTTTTTTAAAAAGTAAGAACGAGAGATAGTCTCACTCTACAGCACAGGTTTATCTCAAATTCACCATATAGCCCAGGCTGGCTTTGAACTTCAACATTCCTGCTGTGGCTTCTCCAGTGCTGGAGCTACAGGAATGCTCTCCCACTATGCCTGAAAAGTACTGCAATTTTGATATCTACTCATTTTATATGTATAGGCACATATGCATATGTGGACACATGTACTTTTGGGGGGGACCAGTGACTGTCCCATTAAATGTTAAAAAAGTTTTTTTAAAATATATATTTTATTTTGTGGACTTAATTTTTAAAAATACAAAAATTAAAAACATAAATCTTGGTCTGGACTTAAATTCATTGTTTCTAGATTTCAGATATATTAACTAACATTGGAGTCAAGCTTTCTGAAGAAGAATTTGAAAATGTATGGAATCTTGCCTCAAAAAAACACCAGCGAGGAGAAGTGTGTGTTGAAACCATCAGGAACGTTCTAGATGAGCTACTGCATGCGGACCTCTTCAAGTGTAAAACGGCCATGTGATATTTTGGGGAACTTAGAGATTTAAGGAAAAGAGATTAAATCTATATTCATCTAAAATGTCCTGGTATTACTGTTATGTTAGAACTTGGCTGTCATTTTGGTTTAACTCCTGTCCTGTGTATACGACTTCATCTTCTTGTGAATTCGAATGCCTCTAAGGACATTGACAAATGCTGTTAAGACCCTTCTGCCCCGCTGGGCAGTGGTGGCTCATGCCTTTAATCCCAGCACTTGGGAGGCAGAGGCAGGCGGATTTCTGAGTCTGAGGCCAGCCTGGTCTACAGAGTGAGTTCCAGGACAGCCAGAGCTACACAGGGAAACGCTGTCAAAAGACCCTTCTGCCTCATGGTGGTCACAGCTTAGAACGATGATGAAAGTTAGTAATGTTTGTCAGGCCTAAGAACTCCACTCATTTTAGCACATCTGAAATTCGGTTGTTCGGTGATGCCAAGTTCATACTATTTTGTCTCCAACACTTTGTTACTGTATTTAGGCTCTGATAGGAAAAGATTGTTTCTTATAGTGCCTTTGGTCTCTAATGCACCCAAGAGGAGCAGGTTATTGAAAGAAGCAGGGTGAAGGAAGCCATCTTAAGACCCAACAACTGTGCAATGGCCACTAGCTTACTATCTTCTTAACATTTTTTCACCTCTCTCTGCTTCCTGATTAACTTTCTAGCCAAGCCTAGGCTATCCAGTGAGACCCTGTCTCAAAAACAAAAACAGAAAAAAAATATTTTGGAGAACTACAAAAAAAATTAAAAAAAAAAATTCGGCCGGGCTGTGGTGGCGCACGCCTTTAATCCCAGCACTTGGGAGGCAGAGGCAGGCGGATTTCTGAGTTCGAGAGTTCGAGGCTAGCCTGGTCTACAGAGTGAGTTCCAGGACAGCCAGGGCTACACAGAATAACCCTGTCTCATAAACACCCCACCCCCCAAAAAAATCAAGAACTACAGAAAACCCATAGAAGTAGTACGCAGTGGTGTGCAGGAATCCGCCCTTCACACCCACATGCCCACAGAGGTCAAGCATGAGTCTCTCATTCCAGGATTCATTGGTAGCTTCTTATGTAAGGGTAAAAATTAAAACAGCTCAGCAGAGACCACAAACAACTTGGCAAAGACCGCAGGACAGCTTGCTGAGCTTGCTGAGAATAGCCATAATAAAAATATCAAGCCCCTCTAGGGACGAGGTGACCAGAAATGTAGAAACAACCAAAGACATATCTTGACCAGTCTAAACATGCCCAAGTGAGTAATGGGCCACCTGGTGTTTATCCTAGAAGGTCTGAGGCTTCATGGTCAAAAATAGTGGGCCATCCAACCTGTCAAAATGATTGCTTACGCAAAGTGCTGATGTTTGAAATATCCAATCATATGTAACCGCGCCAGAATTTCCCACTTTTCCCTTCCCCCTTGTGCCTCCCCCTATAAAAGTTCTAAACTTCCTGGGGTCTTCATCGAAATTCTCTCCCCTGCGTGGGATGAGTTTCGATCCAAGGGCCCTTGTTAGTAAACTGCCTTTTGCCATTGCATCAAGTAAGTCTCTCGTGTCTCCTTGGGTGCGCGCTAATTGGGACTTGAGTTGGGGTCCTCTTCCTGGGTCCTTACACTTACAAGCTGTGGTGACATCATTCTATTAAGGAAAACACCAGTCTATCACATTCACCCCTGCAATAGTTAAGAATTTATCAGACCACTTATACAACTGTTTATGTCTCTGTTGCCCATCCGTCTGTCCACCTGACCATACATGTGTCAGAGCAAGATGTCTATATTGTGCTTCACCTCACAATATAAAGAAAGCAGGGCAATGTACTGATTTTTCCCTCCCTTCCTTCCTCCCTCCCTTCTTCCCTCCCTCCCTCCCTCCCTTCCTCCTTCCCTCCCTCCCTCTCTCCATCTAAAGGTGTTGGTTCTAACCCAGGACCTCTTGTATACCTAGATTGCCAATGGCCATAGGACCACAAACCCCAGCTCTCACTGTTGAAGTTCTAAAATTGGGAAGACCCTGGTGTATAAGTCAGAGTTCCCAAGAGCATCAGAACTTATAGAACAAATTTATTCTTATATACAGAAAGAGGAGTTATTGGAATGACCTACAGGCTGCAGTCCAGCTAATCCAACATTGACTGGCTAGGAACAGAAAGTCCAAGAATCCAGTAGTTTCTCAGTCCACAAGCAAGATGTCTCAGCTAGTTTTCAATGTACACTTGAAATCCTGAAGAAGTAAGTTGTAATGTCAGGAAAGGAAAGCACTTGCTAGCAAGGTGAGGGAGAGCAGGCAAAGAGCAAAGGCTTCCTTCTTCCATGTTCTTATCTAGGCTTTCATCCGAAGGTGTGGCCTAGATTAAAGATGTGTCTTCTTGCCTCAAGATCTGGACAAAGGGAATGTGTTGTCCTACCTCAAAGGTCTAGATTAGAGGTGTATCTACCTATTTCAAATTATTTTTCAGATTATAAAATAATTACATTTTTTTCTCCCTTCTCTTTCCTCCCTGCTGTCTTTCAAATTTATGAATTCTGTCCCAGCTATTAGCTATTGTTACATGTACATATGTATATTTTTAAATATAACCTGTCAGTCTGTATAATGAATATTTTCAGGGGTGATTAACTGGTATTGAATAAACAGTTGGTGTGCTCTTCCTTGGGGAGGACTTTTCTCCTGCTCTGAGCATCTTAGTGGCCCACAGATTTTTTGTGTGGGATTCAAGACTTGTGGTTCTAGCCAGGCAGTGATGGCACACGCCTTTAATCCCAGCACTTGGGAGGCAGAGGCAGTCGGATTTCTGAGTTCGAGGCCAGCCTGGTCTACAGAGTGAGTTCCAGGACAGCCAGGGCTATACAGAGAAACCCTGTCTCAAAATATACAGAGAAACCCTGTCTCAAAAAACAAAAACAAAAACAAAACAAAACAAAACAAACAAAACAGACTTGTAGTTTTCCTTAGTGTGTGTATTGCTGTCCTTGTTCAGCTCATAATAAGCATAGGACTTTAGTACTGGAAATACTGTCAGGTTGTTGAGAAAGTAATGCTAAAATATTGAATCACTAGCCTGTGGCCACAAGTAGATTTTTCCATCATAAGGAGAGTGGAAGCTGGACAGAGAGGAAGCAGAATATGTATTCTGAGGACCTCACAATCGTACCCTGGATGACAATGACACTGTAAATCGCCTTTCTAACTTTTATTAGCTAGATCTACCTCTGTATATTTTAACCGTATGAAACTATTTGTTATCTTTTGTTAAGTTTGTTATTTCACAATTATTTAGCAGTTTGTTATTCTAAAGTTATTTTGAATTATAATCTGTCACAGGTGATAAAAAGTGTACTGGTACATTCATGTTTATCTACTAGATTATGGTTAAAAACCATAAAAATGAAATCTTCTGGCTGAAGAGACAGCTCAGCCAATATTGTGTGAATTTGTAAACCTAGTGCAAGAGAGTGGGAGACAGGCAGAACACTGGGGCTCATTAATCAACTTAATCAGTAAGCTTCAGGTTCCAGAAAGCGACTGCGTCAAAAATAGGATAGACAGCACTTGGGGAATAGCAGCTGAGTTGACTCTTGACTCATGCATACAAAGAGCTTACATGTATGTGAGCTCTTTTCCTTCCCCCATCTCTCTTTTTTTTTTCTCTCTCTACCCTTCCTTTCCTTCTTCCCTCCCCGCCTTCTTCCCTCTTCTGCCCCCTTCAAGGCAAGGCCTTATTCTGTAGCCTAGGCTGCCTTGGAACTCACCATGTACCCCAGGTTGGCCTTGTCCTAAGAGGATTTCTCCTTCCCTTAGCCTCTGGGGTGCTGAGATTACAGGCATGAGCTACTTTCTTCAAGTTCCTTCATCCTTTTCATTAAAAAGTTATCAGGGGGGCTGGAGAGATGGCTCAGTGGTTAAGAGCATTGACTGCACTTCCAGAGGTCCTGAGTTCAAATCCCAGCAACCACATGGTGGCTCACAACCATCTGTAATGAGATCTGATGCCCTCTTCTGGTGTGTCTGAAGACAGCTACAGTGTATTCATATATAATAAATAAATAAATCTTTAAAAAAAAAAAAAAAGTTATCAGGGCTAGCATGACACTTCAGTGGGTAAAGGTACTTGAGATGCAAGGCTGGAGACTTGAGTTTGATTTCTGCGCTCCACAAGCTTGTCCTCTGACCTCCATATGTGGGCCATGGCATGTGAAGCATCCTACTATTCACACATACAATAATACATTTTATTTTTATTTATTTATTTTTATTTTTATTTTTTTCGAGACAGGGTTTCTCTGTGTAGCCCTGGCTGTCCTGGAACTCACTCTGTAGACCAGGCTAGCCTCGAACTCTCGAACTCAGAAATCTGCCTGCCTCTGCCTCCCAAGTGCTGGGATTAAAGGCATGCGCCACCACTGCCTGGCAATAATACATTTTAAATGTTACTTTTTTCTGAATGTAGTTGCTCATACCTATGATCTCAGCATTAAGAGACTGAAACAGGGGGGGTGGAGAGGTGGTTCAGCTCAGTGGTTAAGAACACTGGCTGCTCTTCCAGAGGTCCTGAGTTCAATTCGCAGCAACCACATGGTGGCTCACAACCATCTGTAATGGGATTTGATGCCCTCTTCTGGCAAGCAGGTGTATATGCAGATAAAGCACTCAAACACATGAAATAAAATAAATAAATAAATAATTTTTTTTTTTTTTTTTAAAGAAAGAGACTGAAACAGGAAGACTGAGTCCAAGGGCAACCTGGGTTGAATAGAGATCCTGACTCACATGTTGAGTCTGATTAAATCTTGACAACCTATAATGACCTGGTATTACTGACAGACATAGGGTATACCTAGTGTTTTAACTAGAATTTACAGTTAAGCTGTACCTGGTACTACAGAGTTCAAATTTACTGAGGAAGACCAAAGACTCGCTATAGATTGTAATTAGCTTTTTTTTTTTTTTTTAATTTAAGCTTCAGCTGACTTTAGTTCCCATGGATGGATTTAGAACTAGGGC